CCACCGGGCATCTGTCCTGCCGTCGCCAGCCCCAGGACATGGTGCATCCTGCGATCCCTCCATGGCACCCGCGACCTCGGCGTGTTTGGGAGCAGACTGAGTAAGGGAGGGTGAGGGCAAGGATGAAGAAGCAGGGGAGAGGGGGGGAACGTCCACTCCGTCACATCAGACGGGCTCCCAGGCTCACCCTGCGCTGGACAGGCAGGGGTGACGGCGAGGGTCACTGAGGGACAACCGCCGGCACACACAGGCGTGGCGGTGCCTACACAAGTAGGAGGGACAGATCCTGAGAGGGCTGTGGGGAGCCCCAGAGGGTGGCTATGGCCCAGGGCGGTGACTCTCCATCACCATTTCTTCTGTGACTGTCCTACTTCCAGAGCAAGAAGCAGGTGTGGTTAGGACGGAGAAGCTCGCCGGGCGCTGGGGAGCCTCCCCAGAGCAGCTGAGAAGTCCCTGCTCTCACACTTTCAAAACCCGAGTGATTTACTGGCTTTGCTGTCAGAGCTCCTGGCACTTTCTATCTTTGGATCCATCAGCTGAAAACGAGAGCCGAGGATTTCGTAGAGCTTTGTGCAGTCGCCGCATCCCAGCTGAGCTCCATTCCAAAGAGCCTGTTCAAGAGCCCCCACAGCAGCAGGGACTGAAGGCGCTGGCTGGGACAACCCCAGGACAAGCAGAACCCTCTGCCCACGAAGCACTCCTGAAAAAACCTCGATAAGTTTGTTGCTTTTGACAAGGCTTTTCGCCAGAAGAGATTTTTCCCGCTGTCCTGGCAGAGGAACACAGCTTCTGCCAAGGACTGCGCACAGCACTGTGTACCTTCCCAGCACAGACCCCATCCTGCACCCGCTCCGCACCTCCACCCCGAAGGGAAAGCAGGTCCCTCACCATCACTAACCAGGACACTCCTCTGCCCTCAGCCAATACACCACGGTGAGTCCTCAGCAGCCTTCTCCTTGCGCCCCATCAATGCTGCCAGGCACTGGAGGCCCAGCAGGATGGACAGAGCAAAGACAACTATAATTTAATATACCTCCATAATTCAAGCAGAGCAGCAGAATCCTTCCTAAATCCAGGAGCAGAAAAACAAGAGGAAGGTTTCTTTCAGGTCTGCAGACAATCATGGACCTGGCTAAGTCCTCTCAAATCTTCTCCTCTCTTAGAAGGGAGGCATAGGGATGCCTTAAATTCCAACTTACATTACAAGCCACCCCAGTGGCTGGGTGTCACCTACAGAATGACGTTAGCTGACAAATGAGTCAGTCAGCTGGAGCAGTGACACACTCATCATCCTGCTTTACATGAAACGTCAAGCTCTTGTTGAGCCTCATGTCAGTCAACCTTTCCATTCAGGCAGTGCGAAACATTCCTATTATTATTATACACCATAAAGACTAATTTTAACAGAGAAAAGGCTTGCACAGCCAAGCCTCCTTCTAACCCTCCACAGGAACTACCATACCCCACCGGCACCCAGATTCCCTGGCATCTGCAGCTTGTGAAGGACATTCCCACAGGTGACCCTCAAGGACACCACGCTGACCCGTGGGTCTCCTACCTTATTATTCACGCTGAGCTGTGAAAGGGAAGAAAAACACCCATTTGTTTGTGAGAAAAAAACAACCTGGACTAGGATTCAGACTTTCATTTTGAGTGCAAAAAGCCTCTCTGACAATGAGATTATTTGCCAAAATCTCTTTAAATCTCTGTGTGCCCTGACTTCTCCCTCGCTTGCTTATTCCCCTAATTACGGTGGTGGTATGGTGGTTCTTTGCTGGGAGATGACCACGTTTCTCTAAAACTAACCAGGTATCACCGGTTGCCCAGAAGAACCAGCAGGAGAGCAGGTTTTGTGGACAGGCAGGACCGGACTTCTAAGGGATGAGCCCTGGATGATGCAGGGAGACTTTAGTGCCACTGCGGTGTCACCTGGGGCCTGCCTTTGGCCAGAAGACACCACTACTGCTGCTAAGAGCCATCAGGGTCCTGGGTCCAGGGAGATGCCTGGGGCAGGCACCGAGGCTCGTGCTCCTCCTGCGGCAAGGGAAACACATCTCAAGAGCTCACTCCTTTGGTTTTATACTTAGTTCAGTTCACCCACGATGAAAAGCACCCAGAGGAAAGGCAAGGCAACACACAGGAGTCAGGAATTCCCGCTAGCTTCTCTGAATTCAGAACGAGCTGCAAAGGAGGAAGAAATTTCTCCCCCCCCGTGCTCTCTGCACCCCTCTCCACGCAGCATTTAAGAAAATCTGAGGGGAGTTTTTGGGCTTTGCCTCTGAAACGCAAGGTACCGCCACGTGTCTATCTCCCAGCAAGAGCCGTGTCCCAGTTGCTCCCACGGGAGCGTGCACAGCCCCCGTACACCCCCGGCTTTTCACGGGGGAGCTCTGCACAGCCGCGGGAGCAGCTCTGATCCGGCGAGAGCCCGCGCAGGACGCGGCCCCACGGCGCACACAGCCTGGCTGTGTTCCTCCCCCTCGGGGTTTTACTCACTGATCTCCAGCTGCCTCTGAATCCTGCCCTTGCAGCGCTCCCGGTAGTCGGTCTGCGTGGCGTTGTACTCGGACATCACCTCCACGAACTTGCGCGACAGTGTCGAGTGCTGCGGAGGGGAGAGGAAGAGAAGGGGGGG